TCCTCTCGCGGGTCGAGAGCGCACCTCTTCCGGTGTCCTGCGGCGCGACACGGGGCGCCAAAGTTCCCGACCGCAAAGTCGAACGGGGACAGCGCGGGAATTTCCGCGAGCCCGCGGGTCCGGGGGACGCATCGGGCGCCGCGGCCAGTCCCGGAGCGCTGCAGGACGTTGCGAGTGTGAAGGGCCCAGGGAGCCACAAATAAATACACACAAGCCCGAGGATTCCCAACAATTCCCATGTTTTCTATATTTTGTCGTCTTCCCCCTCTACTTCCCGTATTTTCGCGATTGAATCGACGAATCTCCGTGTCTGTGCGGCATTTCCCAACGAGCGGCGAAGATATCCGTATCCGCGCCATCGCGGTCAGGATTCGGGCGCGTGACCCGCGGATGCGCGGTCGCAGGGCAACGTTCCGCGCGGGACATCGGCGAAGAAACGGCCCGCATCCGCGGGATCGCGGCCCAGGGTCCTGGCCCGCGAGGCCGCGGATACAGATATGCGTTTCGCCCACGGCTGCCCCCCTGAGCTGTGAGAGCGTTGCATTTTCTGTTCGTCGCCGGCGAGGCGGCGAACTCCGCTCCAGCGAGAAGCTAGGAAGGGGCACCAAGTAGCGAATTGGCCGGCGGGCACAGAGAGGGGGGGGGGGACGGCCGAGAGGAAGAAGGGACGCTCAGACGCCGAAGATTTCGACAATGAGCAGCCGGGGGGGGGCAGTAGCAGCCAGGCGCTCAGGGCCAGAGCGTGGTGGGCAGCCGTGACGAACCACGGTGGCAAGGGTGGCGGGAGGGCGGCTACAAGCAGCTGGAGCTGGCGAGCGGGCGCAGTGGGACTCCACGGACGACAGAGGAACCGCGGCGCGCGAGCGTTGCAAAGCGCACTGGGGCAAGGTCGGGCATGTCCCCCTACAGGCGGAACTTGAGCGCAAAATTAAAAAATACTCAAACATGATTCAAACATACAAAAAACATGTTTAACATCGTCCCCAAACACGATTCAAAGAGATCGCCCCCGACTATCGTAAGAAACAGCACACATCCCAGGACTCCCCATGTGTGTTCCATATGTTCTAGAGTTTCGTCTGCCCCTCCACTTCCTATAGCTTCCAATCTTGTTGGGGAATCGACGTCTATCTGCGTCTGTGTGTTGTTCCTCCTGGATCTCTCCGCGGCGAGCGAGGGAGGGAAAGGAGAGAAGGAGAAGGCCTTCTCTGAAGGCGGCGGGGCTCCTCAGAAGCGCTCCGGCCGTCTGAGAAGTCTTCTGCGTCTTCGGGAGAAGACGTAGGAAACTTCTGAGAAGGCTGGGGGACTTGCGAGCCTTTTGAGAAAGCCTGCCGCCTAGCACTTCCCCCGGGACTGGCCGCCGAGTCTCAGCGCACCCCTGATGGGTGCTCGAGAAAAGGGTACGTTGGCCAGAGACACAGCGAACCTAAGTCCTAGCCCTTCCCGATGTGGGCAACGCTGCAGTGCCCGAAAGAGGCCATACAAAAGTAGCTCTCGGCGGAATCCCCCAAAAAAAACAGTCAATGAATACACATTGCGGTGCCGCTTGGCATCGGAAAAAGCACACGCTACCAGTGCCGAAGAGCCAATGGTATGTGGGCGCAGCAGCTCCACCGTCCCCAACACATGCAACGTCCTGAACAAATTAGGACGGATATGTTTCTAAACTTAATGCCTCTTGGGCTCTTACCGGGACCCCTGGACCGTCAAACAACGACTCGGGACAAGAGACACCGGCCCTGGGGAGAGGGTCGGGACTTCTGTGGACCGCGTCTGGAAAACATCAGGACACCGCATGTCTGGGGACACGCACCGATACCGCTGCTCCGCGGACCTCTCCTGAGGTGCGCTCTCACCAGCATTAAGCCGGGCATGTCCCCCTACAGGCGGAGTTCTGGACGAAACATCAACAATAGTCAAACACATACTCTAAAATGTTCAAACATAGTTGTAAACATCGTCCCCGTATCATTTGTGTTTGGCCACTTTTGGAATGTTCCTCCTGTGGAGGGACGTGCCCGACGAAAGCTTGGAGGCATGCACCGGTAGCGCTGCTGCGCGGGCCTCTCCCGAGGTGCGCTCTGGCCAGGACCTCGAGGCCCTCAGCCCGTGGCGGCGACGAGGGGCCTCTCCGAGGACGAGGGGCCTCTCCGAGGAGGCCCCCCCCCAAACAAGGGACAGAAAAACGAGAGAAGGCTCGCGGTGTGGGTGCCTTTCGGGCGTTGGCAGAACTGGGTGTAGCGGGACCCGTTTCAATGATTCGTACTGAGGGGGCCTCTCCAAGGAGGCCCCCCCCCAAACAAGGGAAGAAACAGGATGAGGCTCGCGGTGTGGGTGCCTTTCGGGCGTTGGCAGAACTGGGTGTAGTGGGACCTGGCTCAATGATTTTGCACTGGGGGAGGCCCCCCCCCCCGCCCCGTTCCACTGAGCGGAGCTGCCGCCACCCGAAAAACACAAGCTACGGCAGACCTGGTCTAGTGATTCGGGTCAATTTGGGGGCTCCGGGGCCCTATACTACTAACCGGGTCCCCTCACCTGGGGTCTTGGCTACTCCAGATTTCGTAATAAAAGGGAGGGGGTCTGGACCCTCCAAGACAAGCCATTTCAGACCTCCCCCGTGGGAGAACCCTCCAAAACATCGTCCCCAGACCCCCCGGGCCCTCCAAGATAGCCTGGAAGAGACCCCCCCCCCGAAATGAGACCCCCCTCCCTTTATTACGAAATCTGGAGTATACCCGAACTTTGTCCTCCGCTGAGAACTGACCCTGCGAATCCGGATCCAGCCGCGGCGACGAGGGAAGGGCAGCGGTGCCCGCAGTTCGGGCACCGCTGAAGGGGGCGGCGAAACATGGAGGGGGGCGGGGGGGAAAGAGGAGGAGGAGGAGGAGGAGGAGGAGGAGGAGGAGGGAGGAGGAGGGGAGGAGGAGGAGGCGGAGGAGGAGAGGAGGAGGAGGAGGAGGAGGAGGAGGAGGAGGAGGAGGAGGAGGAGGAGGGTGGAGGAGGAGGAGGAGGAGGAGGAGGAGAGGGAGGAGGATGAGGAGGAGGAGTGGGTGGTGGAGTGGAGGAGGAGGAGGAGGAGAGGGAGGAGGTGGAGGAGGAGGAGGTGGAGGCGGAGGAGGAGGAGGAGCAGGAGGAGAGGTGGAGGTGGAGGTGGAGGAGGGAGGAGGAGGAGAGGTGGAGGAGGAGGAGGAGAGGAGAGGTGGAGGAGGTGGGAGGAGGGAGGAGGAGGAGGAGGAAAGGAGGGCGGAGGAGGAGGTTTGGAGGAGGAGGAGGAGGAGGTGGGTGGTGGAGGAGGAGGAGGATGGAGGAGGCTCTCTCCTCCGGTCTCGGGCGCCTGGGCCGCACCTCGCGGCACCGCCCCGTCTCCACGTTGCGCTGCACCCGCGCCGCCAGGTCCAGCTCGTAGCCGAAGCCGCGCGCGCGGAAGCGGGCGACGGCCCCCCCGGCGGCCCGCGCCGCCTCCAGCGCGGCCAGCGCCTCTCGGGCGGGACGAAGGTGCAGCCTCGTCCTCGTCCTCCTCCTCGCCTTCCTCCTCCTCCTCCTCCTCCTCCCTCCTCCTCCTCCTCCTCCTTCCCCTCCTCCTCCTCCTGCCCCTCGTCCTCCTGCCCCTCTTCCTCTTCCTCCTCCTCCTCCTTCTCCTCACCCTCCTTCTCCTCACCATCCTCGGTTACTCGGTTACTCGGTTGGTGGTGTACCGTACAAGCACAGTACACTCACGAATAAAATTTTACGTAGGTCTCCTCACCTCCCTGAGTTCACGGCCTCGGGGTGGGAGAGCTACGGAATTGGTGATGGGTAGGCCGGTTCCTGGCAGGATCCTGCGTTTGAGTTTCCTGCTCTCGGACGATGCCTTCCCATCACATGGTCCACGAAGCTTGGGGCCCGCCTTGCACGTGGTAAACGCACCACACTTCAAGCAGTAAACGACAGGGAGCCCCGAGCTCTCGACCCAAGCCACGTGGAGGTTGTGGTGGTTCCTGGGACCACTCAGAAATGCAGCAAGGGACGGGTTCAGACCATTGCAGTCCCGACTTAATATAACCTTGCGGCCCAGATACCTAAAACACAGGTTACATCTTCTCTTGCCTTCGTGGAAAACAGCCTCATGCGGGGTCCGTGCCTTGGGAGTGGCCCTGGGACCCAAACGAGCCCTCCCCAGCTCGCCCAACTCCCCGAACGTGGGCCACTCCCCGAGCACTTTACCCATCCCGTGAATTAGGGTAGTGTACAGTTTGGGAATGGCCATGCACTCGTCAGTGACCCTGTTGCTGAATGCATGCGCGCGGGCTGCTAGCCCTGCATGGTGGTCTGCTAGCTTGTTCCCTCGCACAAGGAAAATCTGGTCGCTGGCAACTTCCTCCTCGGACCTATGGGCCTTGACCTTGGTGAGGCGGGGAGGGTCCCCAGGGCACCACCGAGCCACTTCCCGCCAAACATGGGCCATCGGGTTGGCCCCCGACAGGGCCCAGTGGTGGGCCCTCGTGGCTTTGAGGAGGGTTGCGTAGTCAACAAAAATCTCGCCTGACTGGCACTGATCTGCTGAGTAAGTGGTGGCGAGCATGATGGCACAATGTTCCGCAGACCCACTAGTCTGCTCCATCGTGCCTGGTACAGGGGACCTTATGCCTCTGACCAGCTCGCCATCTTCGTTCACTTGAATGACTGCACATCCAGCTCTGGAACAGGGTTTGAGCTGGGGAAACAAGCACGAGCCATCAGTAAACAACGTAGCCCCAGGTGGGAAATCGAACGGCGCCGTCTCCACACCCCCAGGACCAAAAAATTTTATATCTTGCACCCAGTCCTGGGCAGGGGGCTCCGCGGACAGGTCAGGTCTGGCGACCCAGGCACGGCTGAACAGAAGAGACCCTGGGCCAGCTTCCAGGGCTTGTTGAATAAGAGCCTCAGGGAAAACCTCACTTCGGACAGCAGACGCACGCGGGCACGGGCAAGACCAAACGCGGTGCCACGCAGTGTCGAGATTGCCACATCTACTGCACGCTGAGTTAAATTTGAAACCCCACCTCGCGAGGGCCTCGCCCGTCGGGAGGGTTCCACAAAACAACTGCTTCACTCTGAGCTTTTCTACAAGCGTGAGCCCGAGCTTGGTGGAGTTCATCCTCTGCTTGATGAGCTCCCACCACAGTCCTCGGGTCTCAAGGTCCTGTGTGTCACAATTGTTCTTCTCACAAACTCCCCGAACGTATTTCTGGATGTACGTATCTTTCAGCTGGGTGGCAAATCTTCTGGATACCAGGGCAGGGCTGACCTCTGTGAAATTGAGGGTGTCCCCAATGGAGTCCTGGAAAATCCCTGGGCTAACCATCTTCCATCCAGCCTCCTCGCACCAGAGTAAGGCATCGGTTATTGGTCCTCTGGAGCGGAAGAACCAATTTTTCCCTTTTGTCTCCTCAATGTGGCGGGCGGCTGAGTTCAAGGCTTTGCTGAGCAGGGCGGGCTTCAGCACATCCTTGTGGGCGTGCTCGTGCTTGTGGAAGGCCGTAGTCATCCACCATTCTGCTGCGATCCTGGTTATGCTCCTGCTCGCTATGTCTATCGGGTCCAGATATGTCGATAGAGCCCAACCGAGGTCCACTTGTGCCCCCTTGAAGAGTACCCCAGCGTCTTTTCCAGCAGAGGCCCTGATCTCCTTGATCTGGTGTGGGCTAAACGCATGGACTTCAGCCCCGTACGTTAGTGTGGCTTTCAAGTTGGTCTGGAACAACCTGTTCCTGTGCCCTGACTTGATCTTGAGCCTGGTCATCCTACACCTTCGAGCCCCGTATTTGATCCACCTCTTGGTTCGAGTCCTTCTGGTGCCCCTCCTGAGTCTATGTTGGCCTCCCGAGAAGTCCACGCCTAAGTTCGTGACGTCCCCATCATCAGGAGCTCCAGCGAGGTCCCCGAGAGCCACGCGACCCAGCCTGAGTAGTGGCCCCGACGACGCAGCGATGCCAAACTTGTGGTAGGCGAGCGGGAGCTGCAGATCATTTACTAAATATGAACGGACCGATTCAGCCAACTCTTTGAGTGCCCCCACCACCCACCCCATGCAATCTCCCCACTGTTGGAGAGTGAGGTCGTCAACGTGGAGGGAGAGGGATGCACTATCAGACATATTTGTGGTGAATCGGTCCACACCTGGCTTGAGGAAGACCTTTGCCTCATAGGTGGCCGTCGTGGATCCTGCTACAATCCCACGGCCAGGGTACAGTGCTGCGTCCATTAGACCTTCCAGCATAAGATGCCTTGGCCATTGGTAGGTCCCTATGGCGAACTGCAGCAAATAGAGAGGATACTTGCAATACTGGGCAGATCGAACCAAAATATCATAGGTCACATGTTCGTAAAACTGCTTGATATCCCACAGGACCTGCAGAGAGAAACCTCCAGAGTTCCCTTGGTGCTCAGCAATGACAGCCTGCCTCCAGACGGTGTCCGAGGGGGACCTTCTTGGAGCCATCGAGAACCCAACATCCATCCCGTACTTGGTTTCCCAGTCCTTGGCAGCTTGTTTCTGGATCTTCCCGAAAACACGAACAAAGCCTCCGAAGTGCCCAAGGGGTCGCCTGGCCGTCGGGTCAGGCTTGGGTGCTAGCAGTACCACCAGCCTTTGGACTTGAGCTGGGGCCGCGCACGTCACCTGCATCAATTGGAAAATGAGCGACACCACGAGCAGGCCGTCATCGCAGAGGAGCGAGAGGTGCTTCGGGTGCCAGCCGTCTGGCTTGCATGTGGAGTCCTTGAAACATCGTGCACTCCCGCGAATGGTGTCCACCTGAGCACGCTTCCCTACTGGTATTCCGCCTTGGACAAACTCGAAACGGGCACGCGGTTGATCTGATGCCGACCAGACTTTCTTCCAGAGCACTCTTTGGTTCTCAAGGCGGGCCCGAATAGAGATACTGTGGAGGAGCTCCTTGACCTTCGGTCTCCGTGGGCTCCCCTGGTGGTCTCGTGTGGGCTTTGGGGACTTCAACCCCCTTGAGGAACCTGTGAGCCTCCCGAGCCCCATGCTCCTCGACCGCCTGTTGGCACCATTCCTTCCATCCTGCCCAATCGAGCTGGTCCCCAGACAAGAACACGCAGTTTTTGAAATCCTTGACAAACTGGATCATATCAGTGATGAGGTTGTTGGCCCCCTCTGGGTCCACCATGAGGATGACTCCCAAGCAGCGCAAAACTGGGTGCCAAAAAACGCCCCCATCCTTCCAAGCAGATCTAAAGGGGCCTCCATGGGATGAAATATTGACCAGCTGCATGACCAGGGTCCCCAGGTACGCGTCTTTTCCTGGTGTTTTGCCCTGGTTCCGAAGGCTGCTGATCTCGGTTAGTCTGCCCAATACCCATCCTATGGCACGAGGTGGCTGGGGGAAGGAGCGCGTCCTGGTGGCCAAAACTGCAGATAGCGGCTTCACATCCCACTCCATGGGGTAGCCGCCATGCACTCCTGTCGGGCTGGTACCTGTGACTTGCTTGAGCTCCTGCCAAGCCAATTTGTTCCACATTGCGTATGTTTCGTTGAGAGTCTGTATACCTTTATCCCTGAGGTCCCCTTCAATAGTGACATGTTCAGCATCCACCCCTCCAAGGTGTTCGTAGAAATCTTCAAGGACTCCTAGGACCACGTTGTAGTTCGGGTGCTCCTGTTGAGGGCCTATGAGGGGCTTTGTTGGGATCTTCTGGTAAGCCTTGGGGACCTGGATGGTGATGTCCTGGGTGCCTGTGCCAAGTTGGAGGACCACGGGCCTGTGGGGCTTGAGGGTAGTGTCCAGGTCTGTGTCTACAGTCACCACTGCCGCATCCAAATGGCGATACAGCAGGAAATAATCCACGGTCGACTCGCAATGCTTGCCGTCAATGGTCATGACGCATGACGGGGCTGTGGGGTCGGCCCGCACCACCCCCTTGATCACGTGAAGTGGGAAACTTAGGGTCACCGTGTGTGGGCAGACGTTGAAATCACCAGCCAGAATGTAGGGAAAACCCATTTTTCCAGCCGCGGTTCCAAATGCCTCCAGGATACCTATGTTTCTTGGTGAGAGCCCCTCGCTGTCATGGAGGTAAGCACAGAACACGTTCAGGATCCCCAGAGCCCCATGTTGGACAAAGCATTGGCATAGGCGGCCAGGGACCAGTTCAGGGTTTGGGCTCCAGGCCTCCAGGTGGCCCTTGACCAGGATCATGACGCCTCCCGAGACCTTCTTGGACGGTAGCCGAAGTCCCTTGGTCCCAAACACTTTCCAACCTTGTTTCTGGAGTCTATCTGAAACTTCTTGAAACTTTTGGACCAGCCTGTGCTCCTGAATACATATGATGTCCCCGAGCGTTGACAAGTGGGCGAGCAGCTGCTTCGCCGTCCTCCAGGAGTTGGCGCTGCAGCTCACAATGCCAAACTTGTTCGGGGCGCCCTTGCGTGCTGGCTGGTCACGGCTCAAGCCGACTCGGGGTGGCTCACTTGCACACTCTGGCCGCCGAATACGAACTTGTCCCTCTGGGTGCGCATTGCGTGCTGGCTGGTCACGGCTCAAGCCGACTCGGGGTGGCTCACTTGCACACTCTGGCCGCCGAATACGAACTTGTCCCTCTGGGTGGAGTCGCATTGCCAGGTCTTGACTTCCTTGAAGCTGTTCACGCAGCCCAGCGCTGTTTGATCCCAACCACTGCTTCACCAGAGTTGGTCCTCATCATCTTATCCCAAGCAGATAGACAGCATGCTAAATCCTCCGACGACGGGATCTTGTCACCTTTGATGTCAAATCTGTAGTCACCATTCCGTGCACAATACGATCCAGCAAAACCTGACCCGCCCACCGCCACATGAGGTGGGCCAGAACGATCGTGGTCCAACCCTGGCCCCCTGGACGGTGGGTCACGCCAGTGGCGACGTTGTGCCCCATAGGGGTCTGCGTTCTGACCTTTCCCAGATCCAGCAAAATGTTTGGACGGGGTGCCTGTGCCAATCCTTTGAGACGGGCATCCATGCAGATCATGTGCTGCCAGGTTCGAGGAGCACCTGGCAGCTGCGTTCTGACTTGGCCCAAATCCAGCAAAAGGTTTGGACGGGAGGCCCGCCTGGAGTTGAGGCGGGCCATCGTATGTACCCGATGGGGTAGGCGAACTCGATGTCGTCGGCCCTGTTGGTGTGGAGGTCGAGACCCCAGCCGATCCACATGTGGTAATTGGCGACGACGATCGTGGCGGCCGAGTCCCCTCCAGCGGAAAGCCCACCCGAGGACGCGCTCCGACGTAGTCGGGGTCACTCTGGGTCTGGGCTTGCTTCGCCTTCGTCGGGTTTCTCGGCCTGGTCCACGGCCATGACAAGGTCCCTGGCGTAGGTGGAGTTGCACTTGTAGTACTCCATGTGGGCTGGGTGCTGTGACTTCCAGGGGCTGAATCCCTGCGCACCCAGCCCTGAACGTCCACACTTCGGCTAAAGGCCCTGTCGTGTGGCCTGTGACTCAGCAGCATGTTGTAGTCCTCGATCTCCAGCAATCTTCTCGCGGATGTTCTTGATAGGGTTGGTGGAAGAGCCCGACTTCGTAGTGGCAGGCTTTTGTTCGTCACATTGTTCAGGATGTGCTGGTTGGCGGGCCCCTGCATTGCCACCAGCTGTTGATGTGCCTTCGTCCACCTTTCGCTTCTTCCCTTCCAACCTCTTAACGTGCTCGCGGTGTGCATCTTTGGCCTTGGTGGCCTGCTCCAGCGCTCCCTTGAAAATCTTGGCAAGGTGGGTCTGGATATTATCAGAGGCCTCTGCCTTGCGGCGTTCGAGCTCTTTGATGTCTTGTTCATCCAATTCATAGGAGGCCACCACATCTGAGATTCCCAGGAAGTCGTCCATCGAGAACACGTCCTTGAGGTCCACCTTTCCTTCGACCACTTCCCTGATGCTGACTTGGGCAGGGCGCGATGGTTCTTCAGGCTGCTGCCTCCCCACCGAGGTCTGGATCTCAGCCAGCGCATTGGTGACCTCCTCGTCAGCCTCGTGAAGTTGCTTCGCCATGTTGGCGATGTGCTCCTCCAGGTCCAGTGTGGCTGCTCTCCAACGCTCGAGCTTCTCGTACTCGCTGTGGAGCTTCTTCTCGAGCTGTGCTTGGAGAGCTTCTGCTTTCTGCCACCTTTGCCTGGCGGTAGGTGCCGAGGGAGCAGGCGGTCCACGGGTAGCCAAGGCATGATAGCGTTTAGCCCCTTCCACATCACCTGCTTCCTCCGCCAGCTGCGCCAGGTTCTTTGCCTTGTCCACGTCCATGTTTGGAAGGGGGCCTGGAGGTAGTGCTCCGTCTTGCCGTTCATCGCGACCTTTGCCTTTGCCTTTCTTGCCCTTGCCAGCATTGTCTTGTTTGCCAGTCCCGCTTGTGTCTGCACCAGACCGTGCAGGGGTGGTCTTCTTGGTGAGGCTTGACCCACAATGCTTGCAGCACAGGGATCCCCAGGTGTTCTTGCTGCACCCACAGGACAGGCATGTGACCATCTTGAGCTTGTTCCCACTAGAAGTGTACCAGTCTCCTTCGTCTTTGCCTGGGGGAACGGGCTGTTGATGCTCTCGCCACGGATATGTCCCACCCCAGCGCCTTGCACGGCGGCTCCAGCGAGCAGGAGGCCAATCCACATACTGCGAGGCGCGGCCGCCCTCCTGGGCCATGAGCTGCCCTCGCGGGCGCGTAGGCTGGGCTCTGAGGTGGCCCCTGCCCGAGAGGATCAAAATTTGCGAAAAGAACCTCGTCTGGCCAGGCAAACGAGGGGCGAAATGGTGGGGGCCGCTGCTCCCCCTTGCCAGTGAGGCCAGGTCCTGTGCCAAAACGGCTCCGGACTTGAGCCAAAATGGCTACGGAGCCTCACCATCCTCCTCCTCCTCTTCCTCCTCCTCCTCCTCCTCCTCCTCCTCGGGGCGTTGTCCTGAGAACCCCCAAGTGGGGAGCGAGGCCCCTCGCTTCCAGAAGGGACGCTTCGATGTCGCATCGAAAAAACCGAAGGACAACCTGAGGCAAACTGCGAAACACTTCAGGAGCACAGAGCCCCTCCCCATCGAAAAGGGCTCCTTCTTCAGCGCCCCGACTGTAACAGGAGATCTTTGGCGGCGCGCAGAAGGGGCGCAGGGGGATGGTGGGAAGGCTTCTTGCAAGGAGGCTGCTTCTTCGAAAGCGCGGCCAGCGCCTCTCGTCGGGGGCGCGCAAACATGGATTAGAGACCCATGGATCTGGCGCGCGGTCGCCAAATCCATGGATCGGGGGAGGTGCCCTCCCCAAAATGCGGCCCGTGCCGCCTCGCTCGGCGGCGGAACTCCGCGATTTCCCACGGAAGTGGGACCCTTCGCTAATCCACGCCCCCTTGATCCATGTTTGCGATCGCCTGATCTCGGGGGGGGGGGGGGGGGAAGGTGCAGTAACAGGGGATCTTTTGCGGTGCGCAGAACGGGCGCAGGGGGAGGGGGGAAGGATTCGTGCAAGGAGCCTGCCTCTTCGAAGGCGCGAGCCTCATCGCTAGACGTAGGGCCCGCGCCCTCGAAGGAGCAGCCTCCTTGTAAGAAGCATTCCCCCCTCTCCCCACGCCCCTCTGCGCGTGGCCGAGATATGTAAACGACCCCTATCCCAGGCTTTGGGAGGTTTTCCAATGGACCCAAAATTTTGGGCCCAACTCCGGGTGATACGATGGGGGGCGACCATCATCGAAAGGGGTACGCCCCGATAGCCCCCTTGGGATGTATCCCAAGGTTTCCCCCTTCTTCTGGGCGGCCAAACTTTTCGGCCGGAATTCGGGGATTGGTGGAGAGAAATCGCCTCCGAGGTAGGATAGCAAATGGTAGGGTAGAGAATCGGCTCACGTGCCAGCTGGTTTTCCTGGCGCCTCCTGGCGCCGGGAGGCGCTCATGTGACAATCGAGGACTGGGCCCGGCGGCGGGGCGGACACCAGCTGCATGCAGCAGATTACCCATCGGTCGGACGAAGTAGGTAGAAACATGAAGAGGTAGGAAGGCGTTGGAAATGTATTGGGTTTCCGCCCGCCTCCTGTAGAGGAGGTAAAAGGAAAAAACAATCGACCCTTGAAGTAGGACGGCGCTTGAATAAAATTGGAATCTGAGATTCAGCAAAAACTCACTCCTAACGACCGATGAACAAATGATTCCCCTTGTCCTTGTCCCAAGGGCTCCAAATTTCGCGCTTCGCGCTGCGCGAAGCGCGAAATGCGAATAGCTTCGCGCTCTCGCGCCGCCTCCCAGGGGAGATAGGGAGCCCACAAAGGACGTACGCGCCCAGCTATGTACATGAACACGGCCCCTCGATCTGCGAGACCCGCCGCGTGATACGAACTTTCGGGCAATGCGTACTTTCGAAACCAGCGTCGATTCATGTACGTGAACGTCCTTCTTTCGCTCCTGAGAGAAGAGGAGGACGAGGTTTCGGAGCCGAACCGCGAAGCGCGAATAGCTTCGCGCCCTCGAGGGCGCCCTGGTGTCCCGCCCCCTCGTGCGGCCCCCCCGGCCTCCGGGTCGAGCTCGCGCCAGCCCTTGTTGGTCTTCACCTCCCAGGCCTCCCGCTCGCCGTCGGCTGGGCCGTCCGGCACCCCCTGGGAGGGGCTGATTACCGACTGCGGCGGAACAAAAAAAAACACGGGCTCGACTGCGCCGACGTTCGCGCGCAGGCTCCCCGCGCGAGGTCGCGCGCAGGTCGGGAGCGGCCAAGCGCGGGGTGTCCAAGAGGGGGGGGTGCAAATCATGACCGGCGGCATGTGCGCGGCCCAGCGGGCGGGGGCCTGGGACGTAATGCAATAAGAAAAGGCGCCATGAAATCAGGGGAAATATCATGGCCCCCGCCATGATATCCACCCCACCCTAGCCATCAACCCTCTCTTTGCCGCCCCCGAGTAGGTGCCCTCGGTTCCAACATGGTGTGCCGCGCTGGCGGCCCGCGCGAGCCAGCGCGCAAGGTCGCTGAATCAACGTGGGTATACGCCCCGCTTCTTCTCGTCGCTCAAGTATACACCAGGCCGCCTGGTCTGCCCAGGCGCTCGGTGTACAGGCGCCTCAGCTCCCCAACCTGTGGGATGCTGGAGTCCACGGCGGCCCCGACGACACGCCAGGCCCTGCCGGCGGCTAGCGTGTCGCTCCGCTCCGCGGGGCGGGAGGTCGGGAAATGCTCGGGAGGCTGGTGCTGAGGGGCCGGGAAATGGACGGCGTGTCGCGCCGCAGCGGTGGGCCAGAATTGGCGGAGCGACACGCTGTCCACAAGTTCCTGACCGCAGACACCGAACTCCTTGGCCCCTCGGCCCGCCCAAACGAAGCGGCGCGGTTGTGCGCCGAGCCCCTCCGGCCTCGTGCGGCCCCACGGCTGGCTCTCCCGCGGACGAGCAGTCTGCCTCCCGGCACTGGCGCGGCAGCGTGTCCCCGATGTGCCTGAGGACCAGGCCGGAGAAGCGCGGCAGGAAGACCTCGGCAACGGAGACGCGAGGGTCATGTCACAGCGACCTTACGCGGGCAGGTGGCGACATCCGAACCCTGCCCTTACCCAACCATCGGCTCTCCTGACTCGAGGGGAGGCGGGGGTAGGGTTTGGATTGCGCCGCATGTTCGACGAATTCCGAACCCTACCCCCGCCGCCGATCGAGTTGCCTGAATCGTGGATCGGCGAGGGTCGGGTTCGGATCTCGCCGCCGAGCGGTGGCTTATGCAGGCCGCCGGCGTGACACGCTGCCTTGGAAACGATGGCGCCTGCGAGCCACCTCACGTGGGCAGCTCGCGCCGCCCGCTTTCCCGCGCCGCGCGCCTGGCCCTCACCAGCGAACGCGTACTGGATCTGCAGCTGCCCCTTCCAAAAAGACGACGAAACGCCATAAACACAAACTTTTAGCGCTCCGCGCGGACTTCTTGGATCTGCACTGGACCCCGCTCCCTGGCGCGCGGAGCGCGCCAGGGGCAGCGCCGGAGGCGCCGACAGGGTGCCCCAGCGCGGATGCAAGAAATCCGCGCGGAGCGCCAGAAGTTTATGTTTGCAGTGGGGGCCCGTCCACAAGAAACCCTCCACAAGAAACCCAACCCTGAGACCCCAGGACGTCCATGGACTTGCGGTGGTGTGGGAACGCTACGCTCCCCATCGCAAAACCACCGAAATCAATTACACCCAGGGCACCCTGGAGGCCAGCAGCAGGGCGTCTCTTGGCATGGGCCCCCACTGCATGGCGTTATCTCCTCTCCGACCTTCGTCTCCTTGAGCCACGACCGCAGCCTCGAGCTGAGCCACGGCCCCTCCTCGGAAGCAGCAACCGGCCATCGCTCGGACGTCCATTCCCTGTGTTTTTTTCGGTTTCGCGCGTGGCTTTTTCGCCAATTGATCAACAAGGGCTCCCAACTTCGCGCTTCGCGCTGCGCGAAGCGCGAAGTGCGAATAACTTCGCGCTCTCGCGCCGCCTCCCAGGGGAGAAGAGGAGGATGAGGAGGAATCGGAGCCGAACCGCGAAGCGCGAAGCGCGAATAACTTCGCGCCCTCGAGGGCGCCCTTGCTTTTTCGCCAATTGATCAAGGATGCTCCTCGATGGTCCTCGCCGAAAGAAAAAAAATGCACACCTCCGAGCGATGCCAGGGCAAACAAAAGCCTTCAGGAGCAGAGGGCCCTCGGAGCTCCGCGGCGCGGACCCCTCGGGGGGGGGGGGGGTGGGCGCCGCGCACTCCGCTCCCCGGCGCGCGAGGAGGCGCCGCCTCGAGGGGCGCCCCGCGGACCTCCGAGGGAGACCACGTCCGTGCGGGGCTCTCTCTGCCCTCGACTGGGGGGGGCAACAGGGTACCTCCTTCCATCAACTCCTCCTCCTCCTCCTCCTCCTCCTCCTCCTCCTCCTCCTCCTCCTCCTCCTCCTCCTCCTCCTCCCCTCCTCCTCCTTCCTCCTCCTTCCTCCTCCTCCTCCTCCTCCTCCTCTCCTCCTCCTCCTCCTCCTCCTCCTTCCTCCTCTCCTCCTCCTCCTCCCTCCTCCTCCTCCTCCTCCTCCTCCTCCTCCTCCTCCTCCTCCTCCTCCTCCTCCTCCTCCTCCTCCTCCTCCTCCTCCTCCTCCTCCTCCTCCTAGGCCGCCACTCCCCGGACCTCTCCCGGGGTGCACTCCGACCAGGGCTCCGAGGGAACTTCGGCCGTGGCGCCGAGGGGCTCTGCAGGACGAGCAGGGGCATCGGTGCCCTCTCCCCCTCGGACCGGCTCCTGGGACAAGAAGAGCACGTTGGAGAGGAAGGCGCAGCGGTACTCCTCCGACAGGCGGGCCACCTGAGCGACGACAAGAAACGATCCTCACGCGAGACGACGCAGCTAGAGGCCTCCTAGATGGGTTCCGAACAGATGGGGCCGGAAGGTTGCCCGAATCGCCGACCTATCGACGATGCGTCGGCGATGCGTTGGCGACGTCGGCATGGAGAAAATTGGCCTCCACATCGAGCCGCATCAGCGATGCATCGTCGATGCGGCACGATCTTCCAACCACATTTACTCGGACTCCATCTGGGAGGCCTAGGGCAGCGACCTGACGCGGTGGCCTACCCGGGCCGCCAGCGCGGCACACCACATTCTCAAAGATCCGACGTCGTGATTTGGTCAATGCGAGGTCCCCAGAAGTCTCGACTCATTCCCCAGGACCAGCTTTTCTTCCTGAGTCGTTTTTTGACGGCCCCGAGGCCTGGCGAGGGCCCCTAGAGTTGGACGCCCGAAATGGGTACGGAAAAAATGGGTACCATGCCCAACAGCAAATGGTTGTCCCAAACCAACAGCGGCCGCTGTTGGGTAGGCGGCCTTCTGTCTCGAATTGATACAGACCGCGGCGGCGTGGACAGCGAGTCCTGTTCAAAATGGACAGGATCCGCTGTTGGGCATTGTACCCATTCTTTCCGTGCCCATTTCGTTTGTGCAGACTAGAAGCCGAAAACTGCGAAAAACCTCCGTGCTGATGTTTGTTTAATACGTTGGATCTCTTCCTCTTCCTCCTCCTCCTCTTCCTCTTCTTCCTCCTCCTCCTCCTCCTCCTCCTCCTCTTCCTCCTCCTCCTCCTCCTCCTCCTGTGGCCCTGGTCATGGGGCCCGGCGAGGACCCCTAGAGACTGAAAGCTACGGAAAACCTTCGCCTTGATTGTTTCAGTACGTCGGATTTCTGGGTCGGAAGCGAGGGCGCTTGCGCGCGACCTTGCGCGGGCAGCTTACGCGCTAGCGTCGGCGCGCCCCGAGTCGGCCCGACAGCACTGCCTGTCCGGGCCCTGCGTGGCGGCGGGCGGGGCCGCCTCCTCCTCCTCCTCCTCCTCCTCCCCCTCCCCCTCCTCCTCCTCCTCCTCCTCCTCCTCTCCTCCTCCCTCCTCCTCCTCCTCCTCCTCCTCCTCCTCCTCCTCCTCCTCCTCCTCGGGCCGAGGAGCCAGGGAGACCAATGCCACGGTCTCCGCAGCCACAATTGGCGGCGCGCACAGGGGGGCAGGGGGAGGAGGGAGGCTTCTTAGCAGGCGGCTGCTCCTTAGAAGGCGTGCGGGCCTGACATCTACAGATCGGGCCCGCGCCTTCTAAGCAGCAGGGGTGCTTCGAAGAAGCCTTCCCCCTTCCCCCTGCTCCCCTCCTGCGCGTGGCCCAGGCTCCGAAGCCACAGGCACACCGTGGAAGCGCGGACTCGGCCCGTCTTCGCACCTGCTCCGGACTTCAGCTGGGCCCATCTTCGAGGCCTCCCCGCTGGGGTCCGGGCAGACGGGGCCGCACGATCGCGCCGCACCGCTGCCGCACCGCTGATGCATCGGCGACGTCGGCGATGCACCGCCGACGATGTCGTAGAGAAAAAATCGGGCTCCACATCGAGCCGCAGTGCCGATGCATCGGCGATGCGGCGCGATCGTCCGACCCCATCTGCTCTGACCCCATCTGGCAGGCCTAGGGGCCCCACGGGCCGTCTTCGATGCGGCCGACCCCGATCGTCGCCCGTCGCTCGCCTGGGAGCGGTCGCCGCTGCGGCAGGACGGCTTGGCGTGGAGCAGCAGGCGCTCCTCGTCGATGCCCGAGGCGGCCCAGGTGGCCGCCCAGTGTCGGCGCAGGGCGGGGACGTCGCCGGTGCGAGGCGGGGATGTATCCACACAGAGGGAGGACCGCGCAACAAGCCCCCTCCGCAAGGGCCCCCCACTCCCGGGTGTCGTGGCTGAGGGTGGGGGTGGTTTCTTGTATGTAGGTTTTCAGAATCAGAAACCACCCCCACCCGCAGCCAGGGAACCCCCTAGATCACCAGGTCGGAGTTCCCGACACTGCGTGGATCATTCCATCTTGAACGATCGCGGCTTTTCGAAAGCGCCCCTGGTTAAGGCTGGCGTCGCAAAGAGAACGTGCAGCACTGGACTCCGAAAAACACGCCAGCCTCTCAAAATAAGCTTCCTCCGTGCACGCTGCCCATATGAGGCGGGATTCTTCCGTGCACGCCACCCCCCTGCGAAGGCTTCCTTTGTGCACGGCTGTCCCCAGGGCGGGGGATCGCCTGGCGTGTAATTTGGCGGGCATGCGGCGCTGCATCGAACGCTATCTCTGCGACGCCAGCCGTAGATGCCGGCCGATCCCAAGACACTGGCTGCGTTCAATCTCGAACGCCCGCGCCAAGGCCGCCGCCGCGTCGTCGCGGCGCAAAAGTCTGCCGTACCGTGCGGACGCGGCCGCCATGAAAAAAAACCTCGCAAGAAGCCCAGCCCTGATAACCCGCGCGCGAGATGCGCACGGGGGGGCAACCCAGAGCACCCTGAACGCAGCAGCTCTTCAACGGCCGCGGGAGGTCGCCGCGCAGCGCGCGCAGCGAAGACACCCGGGGTACCCTGACGAAAAGCAGATGGTGTCTCGAGGCGCGTCCACACTATGACCACCGCCTGGGGGGAACTGTCTTCGGGGACCTCGGCAGGCGGTGGATGTGGATATGCGAGTGGCGCTGGAAGACAGCGTGCAACATCGATCTCCGAAGCGTGCGCGATCCCTGCTGGGCGATCCCCCCGGCGAGGGCCCCTCCCGCGCACGCTGCCCCCCTGCCGGGCTTCTTCGGTGCACGCCGTCCCCGACGCGGGGGACAGCGTGAACGAGCGGGCTGGCGCGCCACAGCGCACGCTGTCTTTCCAACGCCTGCCGCATCTGGCACCCCGAAGGCCCGTCCAGATTCACCGCCTGTCGGGGTCCCCGGAGCTCCATCCCAAGGGGTCAGCTGAGCGGGGACCGACCGTCCTGGCATGACTATAGGCCTACCACGAAAGTCTCTTACAACGGATAGCATTGAAAAACAACAACAGCAACAATGTGCGTGAGAACAAAGCGCACCGACTGAATACAAGAGGACAGTCTCAGCCAGAAATGTTCCAAGACAATTTCGTGCGAACCACAGAGGGTTCTCAGAACATTCCTTGGCGGGCCGATGGGCAAGCCAGGACGTTTCGCCACTGCTTGTAACGGGGGATATGTCGACCCCTATCCCAGGCTTCGTGGTGATTCCAGATGGACCAGGAATTTCAGGCCCAACCCTGGGATACATGATGATGGAGGGGCGTCCAACCTCGATAGCGGAGCCTCCGAATAGCCCCCGTGGGGTGTACCCTCGAGTTCCCCTCTTCTTCTTCTCAGCGGCCCCATTTTCGCCGAAGAGTCGGGGGTCGGGGGCGAAACATCGACTGCGAGCTCGAGTCGTGGCCGAATCCCCGCCTCGGAGCTGGCCGCGGCGCTGAGTATGACGTTGAAGCCGTGCACCTGCTGCAGCGCCCTCACGGCGACCGCCACGGCCTCGCTGCCCGACAACGGCGAGCCCGAGCGAGCTCCAGCCGCTTTCAGGGTGCGCTCCACGTCGTCGCTGTCCACGACGCAGATGCCCAGCCTCCAGCAGGGATCGACCAAACGGTGTGTCTTTTTTGTTCCTTTTGTCTTCGCGTTCCCACGTGTTGTCTTCGATCCGCCTTCGCCGCAAAACGAACTCGAAACTCAAACGGCCCACGAAATCGCCTAAACACCGTTGAGGTCGACCCCTGGCCTCCAGTCCCACGTGGGGTCCGTGGGGTCCCACCCCATGGCGCGGCGGCGAGCCCGGGGGGAGTGAGAGGGGGCAGGCCTGCTCAGAAGGCGGCGGGGCTTCTCCGAAGCCCTCGCGCCTTCTGAGAAGCCGCGCCTGTTTCCGGAGGAGGCTTCGCTGGGGGAGCAAAACACGACCCTCTGCATTCCCCCCCGGGGGCTCGCCGCCGAATGGCAGCGAGGGAAGCACGGCCGGCCGGGAGGGAGGAGGGCGGGAGAGGGGAGAGAGGGCCAGTGGACCACTTGGGCCATGCGGCTGCGGACCCGTCGGGAGGAGGGAGGCGACGACGAGAGCACGAGGGCTCCCCCGGAGGGCCCTCGGCGAGCCGCGGCGGATGGAAAGCACCGCGGCATCCAAAACCCTTCAGGAAGCTGCCTCCAGATCACACCTCCTCGTCCTCCTCCCTCTCCTACTCCTCCTGCTTCTCCTCCTCCTCCTCCTCCTGCTCCTCCTCCTCCTCGAGCGTAGCCGCGCCCTCCTCCTCCTCCTCCTCCTCTTCGTCCTCGTCCTCGTCCTCGTCCTCGTCCTCCTCCTCCACCTCCTCGCTACCTGGAGACCGCCCGAGAGGAACCCCGGAGAGACCTCCAGGCTGATCGTCCCCGCCCCCACTCTCCCCCCCTGCGTGACGGTCGGCTCATCGTCAACGTGTCAGTGCCACTGAGCGTGTGCTTGTGCTCCTTCCTTGTTTCTTCGGCACATCATCGTTCACCTCCTCCCCCTGTTGCCCTCCTCCCTGCTGCCCGCTCCACATCTTCCTTGTCGCCCTCCTCCTCCTCATCCTCCTCATCCTTCCACTCCCTTCGCATCGCCTGCCCCCTCGCCCAGCCACATGCCATTCTGCCCCCCACACATCACCCCTCTTGCTATGCTGGTCCTCATCCGCCTGATCCCCCTCATCGTTTCCTCGACCTCATCGCCATTCACCTCGAACTTCTTGGCACACAGCGGCGGCCAACCTCCTTCTCCACGCTCTCCCGATTCTTGGACAGCGCCTTGTCCACTACGGCCAGCCACTTGGAAGCATGCCTGGTCATGATGCTAAGCCCCGCCTTCTCCGACGCTCTCATACAATGCTGCCTCTTCTTAACCATCCCAGGAGAACAGTGTCTACACGAATGCGCGCGCAGCCCTGACACTCGCACACAGACACAGACACAGACACAGACACACACAGACACACACACACACACACACGCAAACACACACACACATACACACACACACGCGCGCGCACAACAGCAAACACCCACACACTCACATGCACAAGCACAAACATAACCACATTCGAAAGCATAAACACACACGCGCACGCACGCATGCACGCACGCACGCACGCACACACACACACATAAACACATACGCACGCACCCATGCACACAAACACACACACACAACCACACAACCACACACACCACAACCACACCCACAACATCAGCAACCGCACATACACGCACAGAGATCCACGCGCAACACACACACAACTCCTTAACGCATCCATGAATGGGCAATCGCGGGGCAGACTGCAACGGGCCACGTAAGCAATACGACACATCTGACGGCCGCACACTGGTTCCCCCGACGCGCCGATGACTCCCTGCGAAGGGTTCACAGTCAAAGGGGCGCGTTTACACATGGGGGTCAATCCCGTTGCCCTCGGCGCTTGACCGAGCGGTGGAGCCCAGCGAATGCAAAAAAACATGGGCGCAGGGGAGGAATATAGATAATGCAAACCAGACAAGACAGGACGCACATGCACGCACATGCACAAAACACACGCAGGCGCAACGTGTTTGCTTACGCAGGCTTTGCATTGGTCGCAGGTCACAGGTCACAGGTCGACCAGCGCGGGGGGGGGGTAAGAGGGAGGAGGCGGAGCGCATTCAGCACAGCGCTGCAGTGCCCAGGGGATCGGGCAGCTGCTACGATGGCAACGAAGCTGCACCCGCAGAGGGGGCAAACACAGGTCGCTGCTGCGGCAAGGCCCGATTGAGAGGTTGACGCCGCTAAGGCCCGCTGAGCCACACAATGAGCAACAAAGAACAAACAAACAACAACTTCAAACCGGCCTTGGGTGAGAAGGAGCGGCGAGATTATTCGGTGGCTCAGGCGGGCCGCCAGAGACGGCAAACGAGGGCGCCTACCGCATGGCCTTGCGCAGGCAGCCCGCGAGCGAATGCCCGCGCAATCGGCACCCCATTTGTGCGTGCCGCCCATGTTGCACACGCACCTGCTACGCGCAAGAGGGACCGCAAGCAGGAGCCAGTGTTGGAAACTGTCTGGTGCGCGGCTTTGGGGGGCGGCGGCGAAGGCCAGCCCCAAGCGCGCCATCCAGCCCCGGAGGAGGAGAAGGAGGAGGAGGAGGAGGAGGAGCACTCGGCACCCGATGTGTGTGTGTGTGTGTGTGTGCGTGCCGCCCATGCTGCACACGCACCTGCTACGCGCAAGAGGGGCCGCAAGCAGGAGCCAGCGCTGGAAAATGTCCGGTGCGCGGCTTCGGGGGGGCGGCGGCGAGGGCCAGCCCCAAGCGCGCAATCCAGCCCCCCAAGGGGGGGGCTGGATTGCGCGTTTGGGGGGGGAGGAAGGGGGGGGGGGAAGCAGGGGGGGAGCCCCCAAGGGGGAGGCAGGGGGGGGGGGAACTTGTGGGCCCGCTTCCAGGGCAGGGGTCGTTCCGGCGAGGGCTCACTCTTCGGTGCAACAAGCACGTGTCGTGACAGCTCGGGCGCTGGTTTCTCGCACCGCGTGGACCGTTCGGGCTTACACGATCGGCGGTTTGGCGCCCGCCAAATTGAGATGCTCGCTATGGAGGCCGTCTTGGCGCGACTCGCTCCACCCATGCGTCGGTGCTGCGTCGGACGCCCGTCCGCCAACTCGAGTCGAACCTGAGTCGAACTAGGGTCGAAAGTGAATCGAACAGATCTGTCTGCCATGTGGTCCCCAGGAAGGTGCCCCAAACGAGCAACTGACCCAACCGATCCACGCTGGCCGATTCCAGGCCACTGGTGGCGGTCAACCTGGCGATACATCGCCGATAGATCAACGACAGACCCCCGATAGCGAATCAGCCCGCTCCTGGGCGGCCTTGGCTCCATAGGGCCCCTTGTCGGCGATCAGTGTGCGATTGGGGGTTAATGCGCCCCCAATGAGCCGATGCACACCCCTGTCCTCCCTAAGCCTCCTGGAGGCCCCAGACAGGATGAAAACCGCGAGGGACGGTCACCCAGCCCTCCTCGGTTGGCCGTCTCGCTGGGTCTGTTCGGACCCTCTGGTGTCGTCGGCGACGTCCCTGGCGTTATTAATGCCCACCCGATAATATGCAGTTCGGCGCTTTCCCCGACAACATGTCCAGGTAGATCTCCACCTCCTCCTGGTGCCCCTTCGTGTCTTCGACATGGTCATCCCAGACCTCTTCGGTGCGGTCGACCTCCCTGGCTTGTTGGGCGAGCGGCGTGCTACTGATGACCCTGTTTTTTTTCAAGCGCCGTGGGCCTCGGCGTCAGAAGCGTGGAGCCCAGTGTTCTTGGCGATGGCCGCGGCTGTCCTCCGTCGTTCCGTGGCCTTGTGCTTCTTCCACGCCGCTCTGAGTTTGGGGTCATTCGGTGGTGTCTCCCAGTTGGGCCTTATGGTATCGAAGATCTTGCACATGGGCGTGGCGATATCGATGGTCCTGGTGAGGTGGTCGTTGCAGTCCTGGTAGGCCTCGCTATGTTTATTCTTGCCAGAGGAGGCCTCATCCTGTTGGGGTTGATGCTTCCTGTTCCTCCTCCTCCTCCTCCTCCTCCACCTATCCTCCTCCTCTTCCTCCTCCTCCTCCTCCTGATCCTACACCCGCTCCTCCTCCTCCTCCTCCTCCTCTTCCTCCTCCTCCTCTTCCTCATCCTCCTGCGCCTCCTCCTCCTGAACCTCCTCCTCCTCCCCTTCCTCCTCCTCTGGCGCCCGCTCGCACGCGAGCCGATGCCGCGCACGCGGGTGCTTGAACCAACACAGTTACGGACCTCCGCCTCCGCCTCCTCCTCCTCCTCCTCAGTATCGTCATCATCATCATCAGCATCATCGTCGTCACCATCGACATCAACGACACCATAACCACCACTAGCATAATCGTCATCACCGTAATCACAATCCTCCTCCTCCTCCTCCTCCTCCTCATCATCATCATCATCATCATCATCATCATCATCATCATCATCATCATCAGCATCATCATCATCATCAGCATCAGCATCATCATCATCATCATTATCAACATCATCAGCACCAACATCACCATCGTTATCATCATCGTCGTCGTCATCATCGTCATCGGCGTCATCATCATCACAATCCTCGCCATCCTCGCCATCCTCATCAGTCTCATTAGAAGCATCCCAATCATCATCAGCAAAACCCATCATCATCAGCAGCAGCAGCATCATCATCATCATTAGCCTGATCATCGTCCTGGTCATCAACAACACCACCTCCATATAGTGTTTCATCCGCATTCTCAGCATCACAATCGGTATCGCCAGCACCACCACCATCATTCGCAGCACCACCATCACCACATCATCAACATCCCTGTTCAACATCATCAACATCAACATCTTCAATTCCACAAACAGCATGCGGAATCATCAAAGTCATTACCACCACCACCATAATCGTCGTCACCATCTGCATAATCATCATCACCATCATTATCATCATTGCCATCACCATCATCGGCTTCACAATTGTCACCGGTGGCATCGCCACCATCGTCGACATCAACATCGTCAATGCCGTGCGGGCGCCAGCCGTACGGCTGCAGCCCGGGCGTCCTCCTCTACTGCTGCTGGCGCCCGCAACGGTGCTTCTTCATCTTCTCGCAAAGCCCGCACTGGTGCTCCTCCTTCTTCCCCGTCTGGGGCCCCTCCTCCCTCCTCCTCCTCCTCCTCCTCCTCCTCCTCCTCCTCCTGCTCCTCCTCCTCCTCCTCCTCCTCCTCCTCCTCTAGGGAGCTCACAGAGGACGTACGCGCCCACCCATGCACATGAACGCGGCTCCCCAATCTGCGAGACAGGCCGCGTGATACGAACGCTCGCGCAGTGCGCACTCTCGAACCCGACGTGGATTCGTGTACGTGTGCGTCCTTCTTTCGCTCCTGGCGCCCTGCCCGCCCCTCCTCCCCGGCGCCTGTGCACGTGGATCACCACCCTGGGAGCGCCTCTTTTCTCTCTGCCGCATCGGTCGGCCGCGCCCGGAGCGCGCTCGGGGCCCCGCCTCCCCCGGGGAACCCCCCGGCATGGCTTCCTGGGGGGGTCACAAATTGGGGGGGTCAGAAGCCCCAAGGGCGCGAAGTTATTCGCGCTTCGCGCTTCGGCTCCGATTCCTCCTCGTCCTCCTCTTCTCCCCTGGGAGACGGCGCCAGAGCGCGAAGTCATTCGCACCTCGCGCTTCGCGCAGCGCGAAGTTGGGAGCCCTTGTTGCCAGCAGTGCGGAGCCCCAAGGGGGTCACAAATGGGGGGGTCGGTCCCGGTTCGTGCCCCTTTCGGGCCCCTCTGGAGCCCGGGGGGCTCGTTTGGGTACCGTTTGGGTACCTTGTCGGACCTCCCTCGCCGTCCCCCCGCTTACGACCCCCCCATGAAGCGACGCCCAAGGAGCACGCCCCAGAAAGCGCCCGGGGAGGCGGGCAGGAGCCAGCGCGGAAGAAGAGGGGGGTCGGAGGGCGAGGAAATGGAGGGAAGGGGAGGCTGTCGGGCAAAGGGGGGGTGGGCAAGGTGAGAGGGAGCGAGGACGCTAGGAGTGGAGGAAGGGGGGGGGAGTGGGCTTACCACCTGAGTGTGCTCATAATAGTGCTCGCCTCGTGGGCCGTATGTTGATTCATCGTCGTGCTCCTCTCCATACCCTCCACAGCATCATCAGCAGCAGCATCATCATCATCAGCATCAGCATCAGCATCAGCATCAGCATCAGCATCAGCATCAGCATCAGCATCACCATCACCATCACCATCATCATCATCATCATCATCATCATCATCATCATCATTATCATCATAAGCATCATCATCAGCATCACCATCAGCATCGTCATCGTCATCGTCATCGTCATCGTCATCATCATCATCATCATCATTATCATCATCATCATCATAACCAGTATCATCATCAGCAGCATCATCATCAGCATCATATGCAGCACCAGCAGCAGAAGCAGCAGCGGCAGCAGCAGCAACGACACCATCATAATCATCATCACCACCATCATCACCATCATCATGATCATGAGCATCATCATCATCATCATCATCATCCTCATCCTCATCCTCATCCTCATCATCACCACCATCATAATCATCAACATTATCAGCATCAATCCTCTTCCTCATAAGCATCAACATCATCATCATCGCCACCGGCAATGCAGTCTCACCACCAGCATCATACCGAGCATCGCCACCATCGTCATCGTTGTCATTGCCACGATCCCCGTCGCACCATCATCATCCTGCTGTCATCGCCCGTCACGTCATCGCTGCCAATAACCATCAATCATCATTCACGAAACAATCATCACCATCATCACTTCAGGCATTCTTCGACAGGGGGAAAAAGAGGGCAGGGGACCCGCACACGTTTCGAACACCGTTCGTGCCCGCGGTGACAGTTTCGAGGCTGTGTACATCCTCTTCGGGGCCACGTCCCTTCTGTTGTTCCCTGCCTCAACGCACTAAAAAAACACCGTCAGCATCGTGATGATCAACAACATCATCAACATCAGCATCATCATCACTATCGCCAGATCATAGTCATCAACGTCATCACAGTCATCATCATCAGCAGCAGCATCAATCTCATCGTCATCCTGATCACCACCATCCTCACGATCTGTATCATGCTGGTCCTAGCACTGTTCTCTCCCTTTGCTAGTCCCATTTCCTGCTCGAGATCATAATCATCATTGTCCGCCTACTCCGCCTACTCCCTCCTCGCCATCCTCCATACGTCCTCGTCTTCCCCCTCCATCTTCCACCAATGTCTCCTCCCGACTCCTGCTCCTTGTGCGCTTCCCCGCGCTCCGCCCACACAGTCGCCGACGCCTGCTCGAATATCTGGCCCTGCTCGCTCTGATCTTTCTCTCTACTTGTCCTCCAAATTTCTCCTTCTGCACACGACTCACGTAGACGCCGGTCTCATCCTCCTCCTGTATCTCCTCCTCCTCCTCCTCCTCCTCCTCCTCCTCTTCCTTCGGTCCTGCGCCGCGCTCTCTCTTTGTCCGTCCTCGTGCCTCCTCTGGACACACGGCCAGTCTGGAACCCCTCGGAGGCCTGCGACGACATCCGCACAGCGATCAATCCCTTCTGGGCAACATCGCTCGCCCTTCGCAGCAGCCATCTCGAAGGCCGCTTCCGATGACGGCGAACAGCGACAAATATAAGACGACGACGAAGAGTGGAGGGACCCTGGGACACACGAGTAAATACACACAAATAACAGGATTCCCTATATTTTCTTATATTTTCTGGTTTTTGTCTCCCCCCCACCTCCCATATCTTCCTATATTTTCTGGGGAATCGAGGATTCATTGTGCCTCTGTGTTTTTCCCCTCCTGAAAGAGGATGGCAGCGGCAGCGGCGGCTGCGGCAGCGGAGGCGGCGGCGATGCCGGCGGAGATGATGACGGCAACGACGGTGAGAACGCCAACTACATGTGGTGCTTGATAGCACCCACGTGCACACGAATCCTGGCCACCCATGCGGTTTTGGCGTGCGGTGATCCGCCCTCCGCACACACACCCCGTCGGGACACAGTGTTGCCCGAACGAGGAGGGGGTCGCTCCAAGCCCATTGGAGTGCGATGCGTGATGATAGATGCAACGGTGTCTGACCTTTTTACCGTAGGCGGCGTGCTCTGAGGGATCCGCACCCGAAGGCGCAGAAAACCCCCTGGAGTGGCGGTTGGGAAGCTCACCAGGCACTTTCGCCAAATGGCCACAGACGACACAAGCAAGTCGAAGGCGCCGCGGAAGCGCCGCGGGAAGCGGCGCAATCCGCGGAAGCTAGGTGGCACCCAGACAATGCAAAAACACTGCCCATTCAGCCGAACCCCAGGAAGAAACACAATCATCATCGCGTCCACACGGCGAGGCTTTGACACCTTCTGCAAGCAGAAAATGGTGAAATGACACTCTCTGCAAACATGTTCTCACAGGCCCCTCCGGGAACGTGTTCCGGGAGGCCAACAAACATGTTCGCGGAAACCTCTCCGCGAACATGTTCTGGGAGGCCTCTCCCGGAACCTAGGCAAAGCCAGCCACGGCTGGACCCACCCGAGCGCCCAGACAGCACTCCCGGGCGTCTATGTGTTTCGACCCCTGCGGGGTCCCACGGCCAGTGTTGTGCTTAATCTCAGACCGCTGCATGTGCCCAGCACGATGGGCCCCGGCGGGACTAGCCTCGGTGCTGAAAATGCCGCTCTCCAGCAATCCCATCTCGTCCCGTCCTCCTCCAATTCTCTTCCCCCTCCCCCATGCCCCTCCTGTTCCGCCTCCTCCTCCTCCTCCTCGTCCTCCTCCTCCTCTTCCTCCTCCTTCTCCACCTCTGACGACGACTACGACGACAACGACGACATACACGACGACGACAACGACGCAAGCATGTCTCCTCCAACGCCACGTTTTCCTCCTCGTCCTCCTCCACCTCCTCCTCCGACTTGTCCTCCTCCTTCTTCTCCTCCTCCTTCTTCTCCTCCTCCCCCTCCTCCTCCTCCTCCTCCTGCCCCCAACCCCCTCCTCGTCCAGTATCCCCCTCCTCTCCATGACCCTCCTCTTCCCCCCGCCCCCTTTCCTCCTAATGCTCCTCCTCCCCGGATCCTCCTCCTGCGACGGCGCCGCCGTCGAAAGCGTGAACGCCGTCTCCTGCCCGCCCAGCAGCCAGAGCCCTCCGCGCCCACGTGCAACCGTCCGGCGGCCAGCAGCATGCGGAGGCGCAGCCGGAACTGCGCCTTCCCGCGCGCGGGCCGCATAGCGCGCGCACAGCGCGGCCCTCGGAAGGCCCGGAAGGCTCACCGAAGGCCCTCGGAAGGCTGTCGGCGGCTGTCGGCGGCTCTCCGTGGCACTCGAGGGCCCTCGGCGGCTATCGTCTCGGATCAAACTCGGGAGGCTCTGGAACCCTCGTGGGGGGAGCCTCGGACGCGCCGGTCGGATCGGCGCCCTCAGAGGGTGCACGCGCCACCCCAGAGCCCAGGATGGCCCTGGCAAGAGTGGGCGGAGGCGTCTTTTGCGCAGTGGGGCGGGCGGGAGGAGGAAGGCAGGTGGACGGGGAGGAGTTACTCCTGGTGCTGAAGTGGCTGCTGCTGCTGCTGAAGTGGTTGCTGCTGCTGTTGCTGCTGATCCTCGTCCTCCACGCCCTTCCAACGCATTCCAATACATCCCATTCCATCCCATTCCACCCCATCCCATTCCATTCCATCCTGTTCCATTTCATTACGCCGCGTTCTCTTTCTCCTCCTCCTCCTCCTCCTCCTCCTCCTCCTCCTCCTCCTCCTCCTCCTCCTCCTCCTCCCGACACATAAGACAGATCAGTTCAGTGCTATACAAAAAGGTATTCGAACACTCCTTTTCGCGGAAAGTTCTGCTGACCAGAACCGAGTGCGCTGCTAGTCTACCTACACCTTCACTGGATGCTTTGTTGTCGCCGCCCGACCGCTCAGGAAATAATGATTCGACATATGCATACATACACTTTGCGAGGGGATCTTCATTGACAGATTTCGTGCGCATCTCTGCCATGTTGCTATTTGCCCCTACCTGCTGCACATCTATCTCACGTCGCGCCACCATTTTTTGGACCCACAAGTAGCGGGCCTGCACATGCCTCAGCTTCCCCAGCCCTCGCCGGGCGCAGGTGCCACGTGAAGCACTACTGTCTGTGAGCACCACGGCATTGACCTTATACCTTATAGCCCCAATCGGCTAGCAGCGCCTACACTTGCAAACCCATTGAAGCACCTTTGACAATCCCGTATAAATCACCCTCACCACGCGAAAGAGCGATGGTGCTATGGAGTCCAGGCGATGCCTTCACACAGTGCTTCCCCATGAGCACGGCTGTGCCTGTGGTGCTCCTTCGTGTGATAAGACGCCCTGCGTGGTCTGAGCCTGAGTACAGGATGGTTTCCTTGTACATCCTCTGTGGTTCAAAGCGCAAGACTACCCGGGGTTTTGCCCACCATGTAACGACCTAGACGCTTCAGGTCTGCGAAATCGGCGTCGGTCGGTCCAACCATCTTTCGAGCAAGCGACTTGACGCACTCGCACAAGTCCGCCCTGTCCTGTGCTAGATAGGACGCCCTCATGTCCAAAGACCTGTAGAACCTCTGTCGGTCATCACCCACCCTCGGCAACGACAGTGCCTCCGACACGGCGCTAGCCGTTTTCTTTCCGGCTGGCGTTGTCACGGCCCTCGCTTTCTCTGGTCCCAATTCTGTTAATGATCAGTTCAGGGTGACGTTGGTCTGCTTCGTACTCAACCACGCCGTTCTCTTCGCTGTACCGGATCGTTTTGTTCAGCACGCAGATTTCTGCGCCGTCGCTGGCCTCTGGACCGGCGCACCCTTCCAGTCTAAGATCGTACCGTGCACGGAGTAGTGTTTCTACTTTCTGCTGTCCGTCTTCGTCTGCGAAAACGACAAAGTCAACACCGCGCACCGAGATCCTTATATCCTTTGCAGTATTATAGAAAAACCGCCGTGCTAGCACGTCCTCGCTTAAAACCGTTTTGTTCGAGGAGGCCGCTGGAGTCGTCCTGGATGGCCGAAGCATCTTGCGTCACTGAGCGCTGCAAGAGCGCACAATTATCCCTCCTGTTGGTCTCCCCCTGGGAGAGACACGTAAACCTCCCGCTTGACAACCCCGTAAAAGTGCGCACGGGAAATGCCGAACAGTTTCAGCTTCAGGTTCTTCCCCCGCCCCATGCTCACCCTCAATGCGGTCAGTATAGCGCACAACATCTCCAGTAACTCAAGCGGGGGCGTCAAACTGAACAGCTCGTGGTCCAGCAATGCTCTCTGTCCGTTCTTTCTGATCTCTTGAACGGCAAGCCTGCTACGATGCTTCCCGTTGGCGTCGTCCCCTTTTTTCGTGTCAACCCACTTCAAGGAGATCGGGCCTCTGCCCGCTCGGTCCAAACACTGCCTGATGGGGACCTTGACGCAGACCTTCTGTGTTCTGACCCACTCTAGTTCGGTCCCCCCGGCTTCTCTTACATTTTCGGTCTTCAGCTCTGCCCTGGTGATAGCGTCGAAGTATGCCCCAGGCTCCTCGTCTATCTCTGCTCCTTCCTCTGGCACGGGTCCCGTTCCGATCGCCTGCCCGAAAGAACATAGTTCGCCCTTCTCCTCTGATGCATGCAACGTCGAACTGAGAATGGCGACTTGGATTGCCCAAAGTCCCCGGCCACTCTCTACGAGCCGACCGTCGGCTCAAAAGACGCGCCTGTGCCAAAACACGCCCAATCTTCTTTCGGACTCTTCTTCCCGGATGCACTCGGCAAGGTGCTCAAAATCAGTGACCCAAGCAGTGCTGTTTCGCATGTAGGACCCTTCGCTCCGGCCCTGAACGGCCCAAACATTTCGGCCCCCCACTTGGAATGCCGTTTAATCTTGCGAATCCATTCTCTGCCCAGCCAGGCATACCAGTGGGTTTTTCTAGAAGGCCGTACTTTCCTTTGCCTTGCCTTTCAATGCTTATGTCAACAGCTTCCTGCGTGGCGCGTCTCGCGGAGCCTCGCCGCGTGCGCCCTTTTCCGTTCGCCAAGCCGCTGGAAGCCTCCAGCGGCGGTCTCAATGCCAATACGCATGGGTCTTCTTCATTCACCGCCGCCTGAAGTTGAATCACATGTCCCTGATCAGACAAATCCCAAACTTTGGTCGCATGACCTTTCTGGAGAACATCGCACGCGGCAGCGTCAAGCGCGAAACCTGGCCTAAGACCAAATATGCCTGACTGTTCGTCGTTCCCGTTCGCTGACACAGATGGAGGGTTCATGATGCTCGCCGCCTCGAACCTGCCGTGCCCCAGGCTATACTCAGGACACCACGCATGCTCGAAACATCAGCCCTGCTGACCGCTATGCTCGCTCATTGGCACGCTTCGGCCACCGCTTCCACCAGGCTGCACAAGCTTCCAGCCTGCCCCATCTCGACGTCGCGATGGGATTCGTTTCGGCCTGGCCCTGCTGGTCCTGAAGACCCCCCTTCTCGCGCGTGGGATTGCGTGGCAGCGCAACGGCCCTGGGCGAAACACTCGGAGCCGCTGCCTCGCCCGCTGCGCTTGCCGCGCCTACGGCCATTGGCGCTTCTGGCGCCTCTCCTCCCTTTTCTCATCCTTCCCTCTCTCTCTTCTCTTTCATTCTAGGCCTTCCTCCTCTACGGCCATCGGCGCTCCTGCCGCCTCGTTGGCCGCTACTACCACTTCTAGGGGATTCGGCCTCGCCTCTGCAACGGGTTCAGAAGCACCTTCGGACCTCTTCCTCTTCTCTTCGCCTCCTCAACGCGCTGTCTCCCCGCAACCGTCTTCACCAGCTCCGCCTGGATCCGGGCACGACAATCGATCGAATGGGCCTGCTGGTGCACGACTGTCGTTAAGGACGCGCACCCATTGTAGCCCGGATTTGCCGATATTTGCACGCTTAACGCGCAGAGCTTTGGCCACGTCTTCGAGTGCCACAGGGGCCGATGGAGCAGCGACGGCGGATGCCGCAACGGCTGGCGCCTCGATGGGCATGGGCGCCGCCATCATCTCGCGCTCCTTTGGCCGTGCGTTCCACGGCAGCCCCTTCAGCTTGGACAACGCTGTGTTGTCCACCGGTCAGGTTCCGCCCCGCCCAGCACTCGACGCGCACCCGGCCTCGGCGACGAGGGCAGCCTGGGAGGCCTGGGTAAGACACACGTTTGCGCCGGCGGCTAGGCAGAGTGACTGCGCTGGCGAGTGGAGCGAAACGGGGCAGCGCTAGGCCATTTCGGCCACCATGCGGGAGGGGGGGGAGGAAGGGCGACGAGGCGACAGGCCTGGGCAAGACGCACGCGCACACCGGTCGGAAGAAGTGGGCAGACGCACGAAGAGGCACGGCGCTGGAAGTAAACTGCGCTTCCGCCCGCCCGCCGAAGAGGAGGAAGGAGGCAAGGCCGCCCGATCCTTGAGGTAGGAAGGCGCCTCGAGCAGATTGGGACCTGGGAGTCCTAAAAAACACCTACGTCCAACGACCTGCGTGCACACACCAAACCTGCCTCGATCCTCCGGCGCGGGCCTTCCCATCGCTCGGACGCCCATTCCCTGTGCATTGTTCGGTCTCGCGCGTGTTATTGTTTGCTCGATGATCCAGGATGCTCCTCTAGGGTCCTCGCCGAGAAAAAAAAATGCGCACGTCCGAGCGATGCCAGGGGGCGTGAGGGTCGGCGCCACTGGGGAGGTGCGCAGGAACTTCAGCAGCTCGTCGGCCAGCTCGCGGGGGCTGCCCGCGCACCTCCAGGGCCGCACGGCATGCCGGCGGCATCCAGCTCCCGCCGACCATCCTCATCACCATCACTACGACCCATGGGACGCAGAAGGGCATGCTGGTACGGTGTGTCCTCCTTGGAGGCATGCGTCAAACCCAAACATCCAATTTCAGCCAACCCGTAGAACGAGGACGCGCGACCAAGGACGCACAGGGCCCTGGAAGGCCATGCCGACACCCTGCGAGCGGGGCGCGGCCAAGGATGGACCGAAAGGGAAGGATGCGAGGGTAATTGTCGGGGATGTACGGAACCCCCTTTAGCAAACCGTGGTTTAGTGAAAAGGACCTCGGGCCCAAACCTGGCGGGCGCAGGCCTGGAAAACGACGGCCGCGGCGCCCTCTCGAGAACCGAAAACGGACAGTTCACAGATCGACGTGTCGGGGTGGGGCTTCTGTCCACCCCCGAAGTTGTTGGAAAAATGCTCATCCTCACTGCTCGGAAGCCCGGCAAAAGCTGCTAAATCCGTGGCTGCTAAAATCGACCTCCGGGAAGTTGTCTTCGTCCTTCCGGGAAGAAGCCCGTTGACTGCTTCGCGTGCCGCGCCTCATTCCGAGAAGCTGCTTTCTTCCTTCCGGAAGGGTCGTTTCAGCAGCCACGGTTTGAGCAGCCCTCGCCCGGCTTCGGAACTACGCGGTTTGACTGCATCTCGTCTCGCGGGCGGCATGGCCAGAAAGCGCCCGCCGCGGAGCCTGTGCTGTGAGATCCCTCGGCGCACGGGTCGCCCCCTGGGGGGGGGGCGACGCGCACGAAGCGTCACCCGCCTTCTTAGATTGCACGTCTGGGCCCCATACCCAGGCTTCCTCATGATCATCACGTATCGCGACGTCCCACAACAGCCCAGGGCTGAACCTACACGGTGTTTTTCGTTCTCGTTGTGTTATCTTTTTCCCTCGCCTCTGCCTCGAGTCCGCCTTTACCGCAGAACGAAATCGAAACGAAAACAGCCCACGTAATCACAAAAAAACAACGTTTAGGTCCAGCTCTGGTACAGCCCAGGGGACCTAGGGCACGGTGGACGCATGTGGACGGTGGCACTAGGGCCTTCAGTGGAGCTGCCTATGGGGCTACGAAGCGCTGTACTGCATGGGTCAAACGCAGGGAAGAGGGGGAGGAGGGAGGAGGAGGGAGGAGGGGGACGAGGAGAGGAGAGGAGGAGGAGGAGGAGGAGGAGGAGGAGGAGGAGGAGGAGGAGGAGGAGGAGGAGACGCGGGGACCGTCTCTTCAAAACGAGGACCCAACGACACAGGCTGGTTGGGAAAAACACCGTTTCGGTCCAGCTCTGGTACAGCCCAGGGGGGCTCGGGACGGCGCGGTCGCCCCCCAAAGCATACTCCCTGGACACCCTGGCCCCATGTGCTGCCGCCGTCGTCCTGACGGCATTTCCAGGAATTGAAGTTTCGAGGCAGTGGTTCGACGTAGGAGGATTCGATAATGAGGGACGAAAAAAACGACCCTACGCTGGGTTACAAGTGCGTGGTCTGTAAAACTCCTGGGAACCCCCAAAGCCTAGAGCCGCCAGGACGCGGCACATCACGCAGGTTTTACCCTGTCAGCCCACAGGAGTTTCAGCGCACAGCGCCTCGTAAACCAGGGTAGGGGCGTTCTTATGCCCTTGAGATAATGTGGTTACGACTACGAAAATTAGTCAAAGAAGAAGACAGATGATACTGCGACGACATTTACGAATACGAGAAAGGCTACGGCTACGAATAGGCGAGGGCGTCGTGTAGTGGTACTACCACTGCCGCTGCAACTACGACGGCCATCACCACCACTACCACTGACACTAACACTGCCAACACAACTACCACTACGACTGCCACTACCACTGCTGCAACCACCTCCCTTGGCTGGGCCTGAAGTTTTGCGTAGACGGCTCAGGAAATAGTCCAAGTTGGCCTCATCAGCCTCCCCGACTAGTCCAGGCCAGTTTCGACACCCGAGCCCTGACCCAGGTGCTGCAAGAGGTGTCACTGGCCCTTGGTCCAAGGCGTCACCAGGATTCCCCAGAAACCCCAGCGGCCTCCAGTGCACCCCTCATGAGGCTCAGAGGACCCAAACGTGGCGCGAAAAGAATGTGACATCCCATGCCAGGTACACTTTGGCTAGCATGAAAAGAAGCGGGTTCTGTGGGAAACGGGTCCTGGACCCGGGGCCGCACCCCAGGAAGAGATCATCCCGAAGTGGTCTCTAGCGATCCCGGAGGCCGGTGGAGGGCCCCGAGGACCCAAAAATGTAGAAAAGCCTCAGGCAGGAGCCTTAGCGGGCAAAGAACTGTATGACATAAACCTTTCCGCCCTCGGGAGGGCCTGCCTCCAGGGCGACTGCAAAATTTATACCCCTACGGTGCCACGTAGGGGTAGAAACTTTCCAGCCGCTCGGGGGCAGGCGTCCCCGATGGCGAAAAAGTTAGTTTTAAACCGTGCTTCGCCCGCTGAGGCCCGTTTCCTTCAGGTCCCCTTGCCTTCATGGCGAGCCTCTGGCAGACCTGGACCGAGACGCTCCGCGCACCCGGGGCGCCACAAATTGCCTCTCTGCCGGCCCGAGAGCTGCCGATGCTCCACCCTCGGCGGCGTGCGGGAAGTGGGGAGGAACTGCGACTGCCTACCAAACCACCCCAACCCAACCCGCAGACCCAAGATTCGGATTGGGCGGTGCGGGTTCCAGATGCGTTTGTTCAGTGGTCCCGACGCCCCCCTCCTTGGGAATGGCAGTAAAATTGGGCCTTCGGGTTGGATTGGGGTGTTCTGGTGGGTGGTGAAGAAGAGCGGGCACAGCGAAGGAGCAAGAGGCGTCTCGGGAGCCCTCCTGACGCCTGTCTGAGGCGGTCTCGGAGGCCTGCGAGTCCTCTTGCTCGCCATCGCTCCGCGGTCCAGTTCCCGTGCGTTCCTTGGGCTCGTTGTTCGGGTTCTTCGCAGGACGATTCAAGATGCTCCTCGATGGTCCTCGCCGAGACAAAAATGCACACGTCCGAATGATGTCAAGCCTAGATATCATTTCACCAACCCTTACACCAAGGCCCGGTCGGTCAGTGTGTGTTGAATGTGAATGTGTGAATGTGTGAATATGCGCGTGTGTGTGTGAATGTGCGTGTGTGCGTGTGTGCGTGTGGTGTGCGTGTGTATGTGTGTGTGTGTGTGTGTGTGTGTGTGTGTGTGTGTTAGGAGCCCCCCCCCCAAAATAGGGACCCTTTCACCACGGCGGGCTGTTCATCTTAAGTCGTTTGGTGACGGCCCGGGGGCCTGTTGAGGGCACCCAGAAAGGCCGAATACTGTGATGTGCGTAGGCTTATGTGTGTATACATATATATATATATATACACAACATGGACGCCAACAAATGTGCTTTCCGGCATGCGCGCGCGACGACGCGCGCATGTGCACTTCGTCTCATGTTTGGCAAAGGGTTCTTGCGACAGCACGCGCGCAAGGGCGTTCTTACAATTCCCGAGAGGCCCGCTTGGTAGCATGTACAATTATAAAGGGCCGATGCTTTGCTGAAGAATCCGCAAGAGCCCGAGAGCAAGTATTGTTTAAAACAAGACGTGTGATTTAGATACTTTCGGGGCACTCGATTTGAAGCCCGCACGAAACTCAAAGTCTTCAGAGAATTTGGGCATGCCCGCGCGACGACGCGCGCGTGTGCACTTCGTCCAGATCTTTGCAAGAGATGATTGAAAACGGGTGAGTTTTGGGAAACCAATGCGCGCGCATACTATGGAGGATTAGACGCGAGGGGGGGATACCCGCTGGGCTGGGATGTTTTGAATTCATGTTTAAAACGAACGATGGGGCATAACTAAATGTAAATCACAATACGAAACAGGGTACTGATCAGTCCGTTGGGGGGAGGGGGGGTACCTATGTGGTGCAACCTATGTGGTGCAATATTGGTAGTGCGATCTGTATGATGCGATTCATGTTGCGCGATGTAGTTTCTGTAATCTAGGTAATGCAGCATATGTGGTGCGATGAGCGGCGCGCTCTATGTGTAAGCTATGTGGGGCAAGCTGTGTAGTGCAACCTATGTGTTGCAGACAGTGTGGTGAAAGCTGCGAGGTGGAACATATGTGATGTGTGCTGTAATGATGTGGGCTACGCGGTGTAAGCCACGCGGTGCAAGATAGGAGGTATGAGCTACGTGAAGCTGTACATGTGGCGCCGCTTAGGTGGTTTAATACATGTTGTGATAGCTACGTGATACAATGTAGGTGGTGCAATATGTGAGGTGCAACGTCTGTGGTATAAGGTATATGGTGCAATATATGTGGCGTTGAATATAAGGCGCAACCTAATGTGATGCAACATACGTGTGGTAGTAGGTGTGGCGCAACCTATGCTGTACAATGTATGCGGTGTACGCTGTGGTTCGATACATGCGGTGCAATGTAGAGCAATGCCAAAGCAATACAAAGCAATGCCAAAGCAACACAAAGCAATGCAGAGCAACGGCGAAGCAATGTAGAGCAATGCAGAGCAATGCAGAACAAGGCAAGTCAGTGCCAAACAATGTAAACCGACGCACAGCAATACGGTGCACTGTACAAGATGACATCCGCGCCGCGCAATATACGCGGTGTAACATGTGGTGCAAACTGAAAAAGTCAGTGAGAAGCACTGCAGGGCAGTCCAAAGCAACCCAAGACTGAGGACAGCACAACCCACCCCCACCCCCACCCAGGGCACCCACCTCCGACCTGGTGGTCCAGGGTGCCCTGGGTGGGGGTGGGGGTGTGTTTTTGGGCCCCGCGGCTCTTACAACACACCCCCACCCCCACCCAGGGCACCCTGGACCACCAGGTCGGAGGTGGGTGCCCTGGGTGGGGGTGGGGGTGGGTTGTGCTGTCCTCGAAGACAATGCCACGCACTGCCAAGCAACGCAAAGCAGTGCGACGCCTTGCGAACAGCATGCGAAAAGCCATGCGGCACAACTCCAGTCGATGCAGCACGGGCGGCCACCGGGCGGC